GAGGCGCTTCATGCGAGATGGGATAATGCTCTTAACATCATTCTCTAACTCAAATTTCTTCATGTTCCTTTTCTGCTGACATCGTGATTTAGAGATGGCTCTAGTGTTCTCTAGTCGGTTGATGACAGTTCTTCTATGCTTCTTGACTTGCATGTTTTGTGGGCGATGGTTGATGGGTTTGTTTTCCACTCTTAATCTTTTGAAGACGCCCTTAGACTTCTTCATGCCTCTTGATTGACCACCCAATCTACTAAATATGGACTCTGATGAGTCGAGACTTGGACCCTCCAACCTATCAAAAACTGAATGATGTGGCCTAGATGATGATGGTTGAATCCTATCAAAGACAGAGCCCCTTTGTTTTGGTGTAGTGTTTTAACTTACACTTTCCTCAACTTCTTCCACCGCAATATACTGGGATGCTTGTACCAACTTTCTTCGAGCCTAGATCTTCACTGGTTGAGGTTCCGTGAAACCCAATCCAACTTTTTTCACCCAAACGCGCTCACCTTGTTGTTGCAACTGCTGTTGAGATTTGTTGAGGCCATAGGAGGCAGCATCGATGATATTTCCCATGGGCTTTGGGTTAGAAAAATCGTACCCTGAGCTTTTCATCAATTTGTAAGCAACTGGGTCAAATCCTTCTTTCCTAGCACTAGGCATCTCCGATATATTTTCAAGGCTTGCAGATGGTGGATTAGATATCTTTTGGTTGCTTACTCGTCGAACTAGAAAAGTCATGCTTTCATGTAATGAAGATAGCTTACTTTTGACTTTCTTAGGTGCGACACGTACTTCACATTTTTCGAATGGAGTTTGTCCCTCCTTGCGACGTGACATAAGAATGTAATGTAGTATTTGAACATGTGAGTTAGACTTCAATTCTATGCTTTTTTTTCTCATTGATTTCCTCAACCTTCTCACTCAAGACCTCCTTTGAAGGAGGGTCTTCTTTCGTTTGTTGCTTCTTCAGAGCTTGTTTTCCTGTGGAGGCTATCTCCAATGGCGTCACTTCAACTGGCTCTTCTTGATCGATGTAGAACTTTGCATCAGCGAAATGAGATCCGGCCTCTGAGAAAGGCTTCACCTCTGCGCTCACCCTTCTTTCACCATTCTTGTAGTACTTGAAGCATTGATGCAAGATTGATGCTACTACTCCATTTTCGTGCATCCATGGCCGCCCTCAACAAATTGTATGAAGTTTTTGAATTAATGACATGAAATATTGTTGTTGCAGTCATCTCTTCAACGATTAAATTGACTCTTATCATGCCGATGGCTCGTTGCCCCCCGAGGTTGAAACCTTGAATCATGAGGCGGCTTTGAGACAATTCATCGTCGGTGATTCCTAACTTCCCCATAGTAGACTTTGGCATGATATTCACTGCAGAGCCTCCATCTATGAGTATGCGATTAACCTATTGTTTGCGGATGTATCCACAAACAAAAAGTGGTCTATTATGAGGTTTCGACCCAAACATAAGATCTTCATCAGTGAACGCCAAAGATGCACTGCATGCTGCACATCGGCCAGGATGGTCCTCATAGATGCCTTGTTCGATATTTTCCTTTGATGTATAATGAGTAGGATTTTTAATAGCTCGTGCCATAGCGAATCGCACTTCTTCTGGTAGAGACAAAGATTGGCGCCATCCCATACGAGATGGGACTGTGTCTAACAATGCAAGAATCTTTGAGTCTCTTCCGGAATCTCCTGAATGATCGAGACTTTTAGATGGTTGACTTTCCTCAGATCCATCTTTTACTTTCGCCTTGTAACAAGACACTACATCAACAGAAGCTTCACTGAAATAATTTCGAGGGAAGAATTTGTCTAAAGTGATTGGCATCCAGGGCTTTACTTCTTCACGAGGGACAAGTAGTAGAGCACGCCGCTTCCTTGTTCTTTTCATTTCCTCCGCCTTTCCGAGACCTTTCCTTGTTTGCTGGTGCTTTTTAAAAGGTTGTGAAATGGATGTAGTTGGCTTCCTTTCCTTCCTCCTGGTTACCAACGTCCACCCTTCCTCTTCCGAATCATACGGCAATGGAGTAGGATCTGAATGCAATGTTGGGCTGAACTTTATTACTTGTATGACAACAGGCTCCAAACTCCCAAACTGGATGGTTTGTGCATGCCGTTCACATGGTGAAGCATCCATGGCGACTGTGGTATGATTGGATCCTACTGTTTCATCTAAATCTAGCAAACTTCCTTCTTTTGCGAGCCTCATTATTCTCTCCTTGAGAGTGATGCATTTTTCGAGGGGATGACTCACCAATCTATGGTATCGACAGTAGTATGGATCAGATGTTCTGCCCATTTTCTCGGGGCGTTTAGACTCAGGTAACTCGATGATCTTTTTCTCGAGCAAGTCGTCTAGCATTCCTGACAAATCTGAATCTAGAATAGGTACTTTTTTGCCTGCAATTCCTTTAAGGTAGGCCCTTCTCTCTTTGTATCCTTTGTATCCTTCGAAGATGACTCTCTCTTTTGTTCACTCTTTGGCTTACCAGAAATTTTTACTAGAGCAGATGTGGTGGAGACTGCCAATGACTCTTTGGTAGATCTCTTGCTGGTCTTTTCCGTCTTCCTGAAATTATTTTTCTCTTTCCTGACGAAATCTGAAGAGCTTGTACCACGGCTTGAGATGCTTATCTCCATGTCTTGGGCTCGAGTTGCTAGTTCTTGAAAGGACCTTGGTTTTATTCCCTATAGGATGTACAGCAGATCCCACTTCATCCCTTGGATACACATTTCGACAGCAGAGGTTTCTGATAGGTGGTCTTTACATTCTAGACTTAAAGCTCTCCATCGACTGATGTAGTCCAGAACTGGTTCATCTTCCCATTGTTCAGTCTTGGTTAATTCGGTCATGCTAACTATGCGTCGTGTACAGTAGAATCTATTCTTGAACTCCTCCTCCATGTCATCCCAACTATCGATGGACTCTCGAGGGAGATCAGTGTACCAATCGAACGCAATTCCCTTAAGGGAACGAACGAATTGTTTGACAAGCAAGTCTCCTGCCGTTCCAGCGTTGTTGCATGTCTCAATAAAATGAGTAATGTGCTGCTTGGGATTGCCTTTCCCGTCGAATTGCTGGAATTTTGGGGGTTGATAGCCTCTAGGCATCTTCAATTTGCTGATCCTCTTGCTATATGGCTTCTCGTACAGCTTCTTGTCGCGAGAACCTTCTCCCAGTTGGTTCTTGATAGCGTTTGCTATCATATCCTGGATCTTGTGGATGGTGAATATGGACTTGCTTTTAACACTTGATTCGGAACTCTCTCCATCAGAGTCTACTTCTTCCTCTTCCGAATTGCTTGCTCCCTTTGGACGTTTTCCAAGATTTTTGTTTAAAGAAGAGATCTTCTCATTTTGTTGCTTGATCTTCTCGTCTTTTTCTTCTCCATCCTTCATTAACTTTTGAAGGAGGCCCTTCAATTCGACAAGTTGTTCCTTGACGGTCTTGGATTCAATCATCATAACTGCAGCAATAGTTGTTTGTGATGATTGAGAAAACTCAATCATATCAGAATTTCGTCGTGGAGTTGAAGGAGATGAGGCACAACTGCTTTCTTGATCTCCTTCGTCGAATGCATCGAAAAGCGGGCTGGTATGGATAACTACCTTCTCAGATTTGGCAGGTGGAGTCCTCTCTGAGTCGTGTGTAGAGGCGGAAGGTTCACCTTCAGGAGGAGGGAATGAGCCGAACACCGGAATCTCATGAGAAGTGCAAAAAAGGCTTGGTGGAAGCGACAGATTTGAGGAGGAACGTCCACGAGATCTCGTGCTTGGCTTAGTAGGGATGATAGCAGTTCAAAGTCTTGCAGCAGCTTCCTGAAATTCGGCCCTCCTCTTCATTCCTCTAGTGCGCAAGCCGTCGTCCTTGAACAGTGCAGCCAACTCCGCAACCCTTTGCTGGGCGAAGGTGAGATCCTTGGCGGCAGATTGAGAGGTGTTGTTGTTTGAAGCCATTGTTGAAGACTTGACGTGGAAAAGGAGATGAGTGGTAGAGATTGTCCCACCGAGCGTGCCAAAAATTTGTAAACACAAATTTTGAGTCTGCAAAATAGTTAAAATAAATGCAACAAATATAATTTTTATTAATATAACAAATTTGAGTACAATCTCTAATGTAATCCACTGATTCAATTCCCACGCTACGTCGTTAGATAACTCGATTTGTTGTAGTCGAAACTAGAATTCCTTGATGGAGGGTCGAAAAGGCTTGATCTCGATCAAGGTTGGTCTTCTAGAATGGAACGACACGTCCGATGCTTGTTGTTGTTCTTCTAGTTCTTGAGATTGGTTTTCAGTGAAGTTTAGAGAGGGTTTTTGAGTAGAGAGGTTTTCTGGTAGATAGGTTTTTCTCTGGATTTTTCATGTCTGTGAAATGAGGGGGGAGAGTTCTATTTATAGAGTTCTCCCAAGCTAAGGTTTTAAGGTGACCACTAAATGGGCCTCATATCCACTTCCACCCCCTTTCCTAAATAACCCATTTAAATTATAACCAAATCCAATTTGTTGGACTTTATTAATAATTAAATGAATCTAACTAAAACAAATAACATGGGCCAAAGTAACCCAGATTAATTATTTAGTCAATATACCCGAGTCAACAATTTGATTTTGACCCAAACAATAAATAACGACACTTGATAAAATTTCCGTGCCTACAAATATATGGCAGGTGCGTTTTATTTCTATCTTTTCTTGTAGATCAGTAGTTGTTGTTGTAGTTTTGTTAGATATTGATAAAATTTATTCATATAATTGGACAATTTTTTTATGTTCTTGAGAAATTAGATGATTAAATTGGGTGATTTTTTGACAAAATTTACAATTAATTGGGCGTTTGATTTTGTGTGGAAATTAATTCCATTTACCCAATTAACTTGGGCGTTTCTAGTGTTTGTTTATGTTCTATTTTTTTTAAATTTATTTATTTTCTGTCCTATATATACCGTGTAAGGAACGTTTTCCTAAATTAAAAATAAAAATACCCTGCAAATTACCGACTTAAGTTATAGGCGTGTCCTTATCCCTCATCCCTCAAGGAATCACGAATTTAATTCTATATAATTCACTCAAGACTCAAAAAAACACATAACCTTGATTTGTGCAATTATCAATTTTGTCAAGTCCATAAAATTGAATTATAATTCTGAATGATCTCACCTACAAAAATGGAGACTACAGATTTTTCCAGGAAAGCTCAAGGTAGATTAGCTGTTCTTGCAACTCACCTTTCAACAGCTGCTGATCCACCGCTTAATTTCTCAAATGTTCTTGATTTATCCTGTGTTTCATCTCAATCCATTGTTGCTCCACCTCCTAATTTGAAGGGATCTATCACAATTGTTGATGATAGAACTGGGAAAAAGTACCAAATTCCTGTTTCTGAGGATGGCACTGTCAAAGCTACTGACTTGAAGAAGGTAATCTATGATTTTTTTTATTTCATTTGATCATTGATATTTTATTTATTTATTATTATTATTTTTGCTTGAATTTTGTTAAGATTTCGATATCTTTGATGCGGGTTTGTTAATTTCTGTGATTTTTTTGGTTTGTGTTTATTGATTTTGTAGTTTTCCTGGGAAAACGATGCATGTTGGTTATTATGATTTGGTTTGTTGTTTTGTGGGAAACTTTAGATGATTTTTATATTAGGAAGTGGGAAATTAAAATTTGATGGACATTGTTTTTTTCAAAAAAAAAAAAAAAAAAAAAAAAAATCATTTGGAGGCCTTGTTGATTCTTTTCAAAGCTCATTTGGTCTTAATTTGGTTGTGAAGGGATTGCATTGAATTATTGATGCCAAGGAAGAAAGTATATATTTGTTAAGAATTATTTAGATGGAAAATTGAAGTGATTTTTATGTTAAATTGATGAGAGAAGAATAGAGATTTGATAACAACTATGTGAGGGAATTTCTGATTTATCCTCATGTTATATTATGAAAGGGGGTATGTTGTAGAAGTGTAATTTTGTTAAGAAATTGCAATCGTAGCGAGTAAAGTGAATCGGTAAAAAAAAATTTATTTTGTAAAACACAATGGTGGGATTTTCGAATAAAGATTCAACATTTGATGTAAAGATGGGAGGGAGCAAATCATAGGAAGAAAAGAAAAAGGAAGTGTGGGGGTATTAAGCTATTCGTATCAGGATTAGAGTCATTCTATACAAAATAATGAATGATACCAATAGCCTCCATGTTTTATAAGTTGCATGTGGTTTTGTGTTTATTTTTGTTAAGAGAAGACAGTTACCTAAAAAGGGTGCTTCGGAATTCACTTTCCTGTTTTCTTGAAACATTGTGTTGTGTAGCACTGTACTGATATCAGTTAAGTTAATGTATCTTATTCTTCTTTGCACATTTAATAAATGTGGGAGTTTATCTTGTTGTGTTACTCTTTACATGCTCACTTAAGTATGAGTTTCTTTCTCGTGTGTGACAGATTACAACTGGAAAGAATGACAAGGGACTCAAACTTTATGATCCTGGTTATCTCAATACTGCTCCTGTTCGATCATCGATTTGCTATATTGATGGTGATGAAGGGATCCTTAGGTATAGAGGCTACCCTATTGAGGAGCTGGCTGAGGGCAGTTCATTTCTAGAAGTAGCATACCTTCTGAGTAAGTAATCATGAGGCTTTTGTCTATGTGTGTTTGCTGATATGACTGATTTTCATTAATGTTATTTCTACTGAACCATAACAATAAAGAATAATGACAATCCAAAACGGAATTTCCAATGTTGATATAGAGATATTGTGAGATATTATTATGTTTGAATTGAAGTTGTGGCCATGATGAGTAAGTTGCTATTGATATATAAAATACTTTCTCAGGTAGTACCTGGGACAATTGCTTCTTTATTACAAGAAAAGAATTTTGGAAAGAATATGTAAAAACCAACCATCATAATCAAGTTCCCATTAAGACAATGTTCTTATATAATTTGATGTTTGCATATGTGCTACTTGATAGCTGATGAAAACTGAATATATCATTTAGCTATAATTTTGCTGGAGTGATTATAGATTAAAATGGCAACTTGACTTTCATGTGCTTCATTTTGTTTAAAATGCCTTTTGTTTTACCTGTTAAGTTCTTTAAATATAATTGCGTTTCACATTGCAGTGTATGGAAATCTACCCTCGAAAAGTCAGTTGGCAGAATGGGAATTCGCTGTGTCCCAGCATTCAGCTGTTCCTCAGGGCGCATTGGTGTGTCTTTGAACTTCTTAGACCACAAATTAATAGTCTTCCTGCACTCTGTCCTTTTAATTAAAGCTTGTTCAATTTGTTTCTGAACCAAGTTCCAACTAACATGGATATTATAAGTTAGTGAAAGATGTTGATTTATATTCTGAAAATTTTCAATCATTTTGTAGGATATCATACAAGGAATGCCTCATGATGCACACCCAATGGGCGTCCTTGTTAGTGCAATGAGTTCTCTTTCTGTCTTTCACCCTGATGCTAATCCTGCTTTGAGAGTAAGTATACATTTTTAAAGTAATACTCTTTTATCATATGTTCTATCCTGTATAATGTATGTGAATAAAGCAGCATGCCTCTATCATCCCGACAATGTAATGCTCCTTGCTATTCAAACCTATGCACTTTGATCTTGTTTGTTTTATATTTGGCTCGTCATTAGGTTTAGTAACGATAATCACATTTTCCAGTTGCCACGAATCTAGGAATATTGGGGTAATTGACGCATTATAATAAGAGGCTTTTTATTTTTTATTTTTATTTTTTTAGGGGGGGGGAGTGGTAGAAGTCTGATAAAAGTTGAAAAGAGGTGATGGGAGGAGTCGGTGTTAATTTTGTAATTTCTAACATCAGAGGCTTTTTAAAAGAATTTATTGTCACCTTAAAACTGTGATTTGACTATGTTGGACCTCTTTCATACCTGGTCATGGGAGGTTGCACCTAGAGACTATGCTCAGCCTGACTTTCTGCCCTTCGAACTCCCTCCGCCCAAAAAAATAAAAATCACTTTTTTACATGGAATCTAGTTGAACTGATTTCTATGATTTATTAAGATCATGTATGTTATTTCCAGGCCTTCTTTAGCATCTATTTAGTATAATGAGGATTCAGTTCATTTCTGTTTAGGTATTCTTAGTAACTATAAGGACATAAGTTCACAGATGCTTCTATACAATTGCGTTATGATGCTGCTTTTGAACCTTAATGCTTGTCTATGAATAATTTGCTTATTCAGATCAAAATTGATAATGCTTGACTTCTAAGGATGACCTTTCGGAACATATGGAGATTTACTGTTTATACCTTGAAATTATTTACTGTTTTCCTGTGCTCCACTTCTGACACGCACTAATAATGACAATCTCTATTCAGGAAATTGACTTTGATTTATGAAGTGATGAGCTCTGTGTTTTTTTCATCACATTTCATCATGTTTATGATCTACTAATGTGGTTTATGCTGCTATGAGTGCTGTCTTTGTAGATAAGGAATAATTCTCTTTGAAATCTATTGCTGTTACCTACTGGTTAGACTGTTAAAACTGCTTATTTGCTGGCCATTTGCCCATTCTCCAACAATATGTGTGATGAGCTCTGTAATCTGTTTAGTTCCCATGTAGTGTTTGGCCATGCTCCTGTGAGATATAAAACTGACCTACTTTTATCATTAAAGCAGTTTAGTGATAATGCTTGATTTTCCTGGTTGAATCTGCTGCCAATTTTAGCCTATTAATCTTTTATAAAAAAATTTATCATGGAGGGTCTAACTTTCTATAATGATGAGAAAACTATTTTGGTGATAGTTCTCCTTTGTGAATTTATCTACATCGGACCTTCATCTTAAGATATGATATCAGGAGTTGGTTACTCATTTGCTATGGATCTGTCTTTTAATGGCCTCAAAGTACTTGTCAGCTCTTTATGATCTATTCTGTCTTTTTTGCAGGGTCAGGATCTTTACAAGTCAAAGCAAGTGAGAGATAAACAGATAGTCAGAATACTAGGGAAGGTCAGTATCACAATTTCTGCACTTAGGGCCTGTTCTCTTCCGTTGAAATTCAGCTCAGCTCAGTTTAGCTCAGCTCTTAATTTACGTCTAATGATATTGCTAATGATATAAAGCCAAATTTCATTCTTTTAAGCTCTTATTACAACGACGACGACAACAACAATAATAATAATATAATAATAATAATAATAATAATAATAATATTAACAATAATAATAATAATAATAATAATAATAATAATAACAATAATAATTGAAATAATAATACTAATAATAATCATCAATAAATAATAATAATAATAATAACAATAATAATAATAATACTAATAATAATCAATAAATAATAATAATAATAATAATAATCAAAATTAATAATAATAAATAATAATATTATTATTATTATTATTATTATTATTAATAATATGTACATTTGTATATACACATATGTATAGTAATAAATAATCAATAAATAATCAAAGATCACTAATCCGTAGTTAGAAATCACTAATTAATAAGTTATGTACATTTGTATATACACATATGTATAGTAATAAATAATCAATAAATAATCAAAGATCACTAATCCGTAGTTAGAAATCAATAAGTTCAGCTCAGTTCATTTCAGTTCAATTCAGCTGAGTTCAGTCAATCGGAACAGGCCCTTAATAGTCTTATCCAAATAATTCGACTGTCAAGATTCAAGAATTCTAAAACAAGGTGGTCTAGCAATTAAGCATTTAAACAAATATGTTTTTGTATACTTGCTCCATTATAGGATGTGTTTACATGTTCACCACAGTCATGTTCAATTGTTCAAAGCCATACACACATGATTATATATAATTTAATTTTTTAGGAAAAGGGTAAAGCGAAAAGTGGGACTATTATTGTTCTTCAATCCATATACCATGTCCTCTAGTTATTGGTTTGGGGACAACGTATGTGGTGAATAAATGTAATTGTTTAGAAAATAGGGTGGTAATATGTAACTGAAAGTCTGAAACTTCATTTGTTCTTTTCTTGTTGGAAAATTGCTTTCTTTGAAAACTTGGCAGTCACAAATTCCATTGAAACTGAAACATTAAGATCTTCTAGTTTGATGTCTCATCCCTTAAGATTTATTTTAATATCTTTACAGGCCCCAACGATTGCAGCTGCAGCTTATTTGAGATTGGCTGGACGGCCTCCAGTTCTTCCTTCCAACAACCTTTCATATTCAGAGAACTTCCTTTACATGCTTGATTCTTTGTATGTTCTGTTTACAAACTCCTTAGATCACCAAGGGTTAATTATTTGTGTTTTTTGTGCTACCTGTTCATGTGTGGTCTTTTATTGATTCAATAATGATGTGACTATCACTTTTAATATTGATTTTTCCTAAACTACATGCAGAGGTGATAGGGCTTACAAACCAAATCCTCGTTTGGCCCGAGTTCTAGATGTTCTATTCATACTACATGCTGAACATGAAATGAATTGCTCTACCGCTGCTGCTCGACATTTAGCATCAAGGTATATGATATATTAGTGAAACATGTTCAGATGGTTTTGTTAATATATATTTCAAGTATTGATCTGGTATTGTACAAGCAGTGGTGTTGATGTATACACAGCTCTTGCTGGTGCTGTTGGGGCACTCTATGGTCCTCTTCATGGGGGTGCAAATGAGGTAATATGCATTAAAGATATCTATCTTAATCTGGTAGCTCTATAATGTAAAAGTTAAGTAGATTGTGGCGTGGAAACTTTGTCCATGCATCTCTCTGGTGACTGAATTCATCAGAAGTATTCTATAAAGTGTTTAACAAGTTCACCTTTTCTATTTGGAACTTAGGCTGTGCTCAAAATGCTGAATGAAATTGGAAGTGTTGAAAACATACCAGACTTTATCGAGGGTGTCAAAAATAGGTAGTTTGTTCTGTAATTGTCATATCATTATGTATGGTTATTGCTTTCAAAGTAACAAACAAAAGTTGGACTAATAAAACTGTCTTTTTTGCATCCTTGAAGGAAACGGAAAATGTCCGGATTTGGGCATCGTGTGTATAAAAATTATGATCCCAGAGCAAAGGTTATTAGGACGTTGGCAGAGGAAGTATTCTCCATAGTTGGAAGAGATCCCCTCATTGAGGTACTTTATTATAATTTGTGATTTCATCCGCTACCTCTTTTATCTAGCCCCATTCTAGAGATGAATAATAATGACTTGTATGTTAGCAAATTATTAAGGGTTTTAAAGATTACATTAGAGATGTAAATAGAGAAAAAATCACTTCCAACATCAAATACAGTAATTTCTGCCAGAAAAATTGATGTCATCTTTCTTTACCGTTGGTTGATGAACCATGAGATTTGGTAGAAATTTTAAAAACAGTTTTGAAAAGATCAGAGCTGCTCAATTGTATGGCAGGAAATCTTAGTAGACAAAAATTCAATGCAGAATCATCCATCAATTTGAAATTATGAATATTGTGCAGGTGGCTGTTGCTTTGGAGAAAGCTGCCCTATCAGACAAGTTTTTCATAAAGAGGAAGTTGTACCCAAATGTTGATTTTTACTCTGGGTTAATCTACAGGTGATTTTCTGTGCAGAGTTAATTTCATGTATTTAATTTTAATCTTATTACATTGTAAGTTGATTTATTTTTATTTTTTTCCCCACTAGGGCAATGGGCTTCCCAACCGAGTTTTTCCCTGTTTTGTTTGCAATCCCTCGAATGGCTGGGTATTTGGCCCACTGGAGGGAGTCACTTGATGATCCTGATACAAAGATAATGCGACCCCAACAGGTTCGATTTTAAATTTGTGAGATCTTTGATGGTCAAAGGGCTTACAAAAGATTTACAGTAATTATTCTATGTTTTCAAAAATATCTCTGTTTAATGCATCATCATATTCATTCTGGCTAAATAACCACCACCCCTTGTGTTTTTACATCTATATGATTAACTTTTAATCGATAATCACTACAGCTTAGGATTTTATGCAATTTTAATTGCTCCGTTACTAATTTTGTTCCAAAAATGTTACCCACTTACCCATATGATTAACAACTGCTCCATTCTCCACTGTCCAATGTCCCACCACCTGTCTCCACCATCCTATTTCAACCCAAATTCGGCTGATGCCACTGCCTTGAACCACAAATCCACCACTGCCAAAACCACGTTGTCCTCACAAACCTCAGCCCCAGTATTACTAATACCTCAATATCCCTCTACTACCACATCCACTTTCACCAAGCACTAATAAGCCACAACATTCATCAACCACCACCCCACTGATAATAATCACCACAAACCCTTAAATCCACTACATCCACATTCGCATATTGAGAGATAAAGCTTCAAGTAAGAGAAAGAAGATTGAGTGTAGTAGACCAAGAGTACAGACAATGAAATCAAGAAAGCTAATTTAGATTGAGTGGAGAGAGAAGATCTATTGAGAAAGAGGAGGCCGAGAGAGAGAAGAATTGTCTGATTTCTAGCACTTGGTGGTGCCTGATTTTCCACTGCTGTTGATGATAGTTACTGATGGTGGGCCCTTGCTGGGGGGTTTGAGATGGGGTTTTGAAGAAGGTGAAAGTTGGGCTCAGTAGATGCTTGTGGGATGAGAGGATGACAGTGGTAGTGGAGGTAGCCAAAAGATGCTACAAATGGTAGAGTCAATTTGAGGAAGATGATGATAGTGGTCGGTTGGAGAGGAGCAAAGGGGACCAAGGGTATTAGTAAAATCTGATAATGAATATTTGGAGGGGTTGAGAAATAATTGATTATGTTTAAATCTTTAGTAAGGAATTAAGGATGAGGTTGTAATCTTGGCTAATATGCATGCTAATAATTGCTACTGATAAGGTAAAATAATAGTGCTGCAACTGTTTCATGATCGCCAAAATTGAAAAGTGATTTTAACATAAACAAAAACGAGGAAGGATATCTCTTAAGGTCTCTAGAGTGATCATTGTTTTGGGTTAGTTATCCTCGTAACTTCTTAGACTAAACTGCAATAGACACAGTAATTGATGTTTGGTTAGAGATCATATTGTACACTAAATCTGGTACAGTTGCAATGGCCCATGTTTTTGTTCTATTTATTCACTTTGCAATTTGACATTAAATCTTATAGCATTTTCTCTGATTGATATGATCATATCACTAGTGAAATCTTGTAATGTTGCAGGTCTGTAGGGCGTAGCTGTAGAGTGATCAACTTTATGCTTACCTAGGCTCTGTATTCCACTTATTTCAAGCATTTGAATCCCTTCATCCAAAGTTTATTGTCCCGAACCCATCTCATAGTAAAATTCTGTGACTCATAGTAAAATTCTGTGACTACAATAATTTCATTATAAAATGAGTAGTTTCCTTTCTGTTATCACTCCACCAATCTATGAAATGGGGCTATCTTTGGTTACATTCATAATTATATGACAATACTTCAAGTAGTATACGTGAAAAATATTTCAGGGAGTAAAAAAAGGGTATGATGTGAATGTGGATTTTTGTTAGAAAATGATAATAAACAATTGATATATTTTAAAAACCTTCTTAATGCATGAGGTGTTGTAGAATTCCAGAAGCATTCCCAATTCAAAAATTCCTGTCTTTCTCCTATCTAGTACTCCAATAGAACAGAAGTTCTAAAAAACTAATTGTTTTTTTTTTTCTTTTTTCTTCTCTTGTATTTGTATTTGTTATTTAAAGTTTAAACTCATTAGGCTTTGTGGTTGTTTTGTTTGTCTCAAATTTGTCCAGAAAAATCAATCAATTTTTTTTTGCGTTTCAGGTATACACTGGAGTATGGTTGAGACATTACATGCCCTTGGAAGATCGTAAGGATTCATCTGGGGCAGACAAGCTTAGTCAGGTCTCGGTTTCAAATGCAACAAGGCGGAGACTGTCGGGATTTGGACATTAAAAGAAAAAATATTCCACTCTGATAGGAAATAAATGGAAAAAACAGTTTCTATCTTGTTTATATATAATAAGGTTATGGGGATAACAAGACTTGACATTTAGGAAATGGCTTAATGACGGGAACTGTAACTAAGCTTTGTTTGTTTGTTTTTTTTTTTTTTTAATTTTATTATTTTTTTGGTAATGTTACAAAATAAATTGTTGCAGGGGTTAAGTTATTTTACTTTTATTATTTTCCTTTAAAAAAAAAATAAAAAAAATACCTAAGATTAATTTGGAATTTTGGAGTGTGTTTTTAATTTGTCCAGTAAGTAACAAATACGGATCCTTTTTTAGCTACCATATATCAGTTGGCAGTCTTGGAACCCCATTACCCCAATTATGCTCTTACGAATGCAGACAAGCAAAAGCATTCTGAGACATTCATGCTGAAGAGATTATATTTATCATGAACATAATGGCTACTACTCCGTAATATTCATCTATGCACCGTCTAGAGTGAAAAACTTGATCACTATTTCAGCACTCACACTTGTTAACAACCTCATATCATGCACCTTGAACTTATGAATCATAAACTATTATAACAGAGGAAAGGCGTTGGTATAAATGTTTAAACATTTAATGCTCAATACACATTTAACAATTTATGAAATTTTTGCTTAGTCTCTCCTTATTTATTCAAATCATGTGTGGGTAGCGATGATCTTGCATCTTTTTTTTTTTTTTTTTTTTTTTTTTTTTTTTTTTTTTTTAAAAAAAACAACCTTAGATATCGCCCGAATCAATAGCTAGTTGATACTAATAATCCAACTGTTTGGTATGTATAGCAGATGTTTTGTTCATAATAGTGGTGAAAAGAAATTTGGAAAAGTTTGATGAACAAAGTGATGAGGTTATATTTTTTGGGATATACGTAAAATAGTGAAGTTTATAGAGCTTATAATAATGAACAATGTTTGTTGAAGAATCTGTACATGTTATTTTTAATGAAACTGAACAATTAATTGATGTATAGGAAGGTAATGATGATTTCGAAATTGGACTTGTGCTAAAACTCAAACACACCATTGTGGTGTTCCTAGAGGTGTCAATTCTGATAGAATCCTTCTTTCAGATGGTTGTTGAATTCTTGGCTTAGATATTCACCACCTCGATCCGATCGAAGTGCTTTAATCTTCTTGCCAAGCTATTTCTCTACTTCACTATGTAATTCTTTGAAATTTTCAAACGAATCGGATTTGTGTGACATTAGATAGATCTATATCTACTAAAGTCATCGGTGAAAGTGATGAAGTAGTGAAACACAGTGCACCTCTTGCAGTTGTGCTCATTGGGCCACACACGTCAGATTGAATGTGGCCTAATAGCTCACTTGCCCTTTCTCCCGACTTGGTGAAAGGTTGCTTTAATTGTCATTTTGCCAAGTGAACATGATTCACAATTTTCAAATGACTCCAAGTCAAATGAAATCCAAAATTCCTTCCTTTTGAAGTTTCTGAATGTGCTTTACGTTTATATGGCCTAATCGACAATGCCAAAGATACACTGGTAAAAAAACACAAATGCGCACCAAGAAATTGGCATCGGTTCTTAAAACCGGTGGGAAAAAAAACAATGCAAAATTTAGTTTAATAGAAATGCCACCTGTCTGACTTAATGCCACATGGTTGATTATTTCAAAAAATTATTTCAATCAAAATCCAATATTAACATAGGGCTTTTGTATTATTTGCAATTAATTTTCCATAAACTAAGTTTAGATTTAATTTGAAGATATTTGAGTGTTGAGAGAAATCAGCGATATAAGAGAAGTTGTTTATTGAAACTCGAGAATTTTAATGCATAAAAAAAAAAAAAAACTTGTAAAAGAAAGTGAATACAGGCTAACAAAATGTGGTAAATATTTTGTATAAACTATTATTTTCGATCACAATTTAAAAGATTTTTTGTTTTAAATGTTAATTTTCCACACTAGACAAAATATTAGGAGAAATGACAATTTGGATATCTGGACATTCACTTGATTGAAAAAGAATTGCATGTGCTAGCAAGACAAAGTTCAAACCTATTAAGTACTTGTTCCTGCTGGATTCTGCTTCCGTCAGTGTCTGAGGGCTGGTAATGGTTTACCGTCCAATTGCTCACCTACACAGCCAATACAGATTAGCTAGCCCGGGGGTTATCCGGGAATAACCACTCCGATGCTAAAGTTAGTACCTTTGTGAGAAGAAAGTGAAAGAAGAGAGAGAAAATGTTTTAGAGAGAGAGAGAGAGAGATTCTAACTCTGAAATGAGAATTTGTTTGGGTATTTATAGGAACGCAACCAAGCAGGTGCCACCTATACAGATAGGTGGCACACCGACCTTGGTACTAGCAGGTGCTTACGCGGCACTAAGCAGCCCTCCACGTGTCAGTGGGACATGCCACGTTCCGAGAAGCAGCTCTCCACGTGGTAGAGACTAATGCCGGTAAGGACATGAATTATTCAATAATTAACCATTTCTTTAAACTGCAAGGCACTCTTTTACCGGCATGTTATGATACTACCGGTATATCCCGTACAACTAGCCCCCCAAGTGAGGACGTTAGTAAAACTGACGTGCTCACTTGTGATGGAACACGGTGGTGGTATGTACAAAACAGCATACAAGCATGCTTAGAAAACAAACAGAAAATCTACGATTTGCCCCCCAAGCGAGCAAATTGACGGTAGTAATTTACTCAATAAATCAACAAGAAAAAATCTACGATTTGCCCCCCAAGTGAGCAAATTGACGGTAGTAACTTTACTCAATAAATCAACAAGAAAAAATTTACGATTTTCCCCCAAGTGAGCAAATTGACGGTAGTTACTTTGGTCAATAAAGCATGGAAAAAATGCCGACATGGTTATTGTGAATTAAATATGAAACCGAAAATAGGAGGTAAAACGATTTGTTGTTTATTTAAAAATTTATCCCCCAGGATTTGGCGGGAAAATGTAATAAAGTAATGGGGTACGTGTCAGTCATCAAAGCAGGTTAATTTTGAAAAGGTGTTTATCACAGCCGTTGGATTGCATGCAGTAAATGTCACATCAACCGCTTCATTTGGACAGTATAAATAGCTTATTTCGCACTTTGACCCTTCATTTCCTTTGCGAAAAAATTTCTACTTCACTTCGCTCGTACTGCGCTTATATTTCTGCGATTCAAGGCTCAATTTGTCAAGGGTTTGTTCAGTTGTGTTGTGACCGGTGTTTGTAAACGGAGGACACTTAATTTCCGAGTTACGCTTCAAGAGTTGAGTTCAAAAAGAGGTAAAAAACCCTAACTCTCTTTTCGATTTTTCGCTGGTTTGTGGTTAAGTAGTTTTGTGTTTATTTCATTATTTGTGAATGTCTGGTTCTGGAATGCATGCGAATACGGGTAAAGCCAATGAGGCTGAACTCTGTACCCCCTTAACTTCTATAGAAGAAAGAGAAGCTTATTACCGTCATAAATTTCTGGCTGACGCCGAGAAGGCTTTGCGTCCTACCAACCCCGATATCCCAGAGGACACAGAGATTGCCGATGTTGAGCCTATTAGCGTTCAATATCATTTAAGGTCAAACTTGGATTTGTTTAATCAATACGACACTAATATTGACAGGATGCCGAGAACCAAACATACCAGTTTCCAACGTGAGGTTGGTGAAAGCAGTAGACCTGCTGTTGATGAAGAAGTTGGTGACCCTGAGCATGAAGCTTCGGATATCCGAGAAGAAGATATCCGGTCTGTTGAGGAAAGCCTAGACCGTCAAGAAAGTGGGGTGATAGCATCGGTAATGAAGATGCAGAGGGATCAGAAAATCTTGAGGGAGGAGATGATGAGGAGGAAGGCGACGAGACCGACGAGGAAATTGTTGCGGATTTCAATGTTGCTACTCAGACCGCAGACGAAGAACGTCTCAACGAGGAATATGACTCAGACCAAGATGATGCAAAATATCTAGTACCACAAGAAATCCCTAGCAGTTATGAGATAAATGACTGCGTCGTGGATCCAGTATGGTTGCAGACACCGACCGAGAAAGATTACTGTCAACATGGTAAACGCTTCTACTGTCAACCTGACGGATATGAACTCAGATTACCGGGCACAGGTCAAACGGCCTTGGACTGTCCTCCCGGCCATATCGTCGTATATGCCAAACATTTTGAATTTGGCTTACGGTTTCCGCTTCACCACTATATTGAAAAAATATTTCGGGCTTGGAATGTATCTATTGCACAGTTAACGCCTCCAACCATTCGCAACATAGTCTCTCTTGTCTGGGTAATGATCTTCATGGACTTTCCCCTTACCTTGAACCTTTTTAGGAGGCTACATTGGATAAAGAGAGACAGCCAATCACCTGGGTGGTGGTCTTTGTTTATTACTCCCGGTAAATGCACAGTGTGGCCGAAATTGACCATTTTCAAGAACTGGAAGAATGAATTTTATTTTATGAGTGTGCCTGACGATTTTACCGTCCGTAGGACATTTCATCATCCACACAGCATGTTCGAGACTATACGGTCGAGAGCGTTAGGACCGATGGAGAAAATGGCTTTTAAATGGTTTAATTGTACATATGTTAGGGCTGGTAAGAAGAATAAAGCTGTTCCGGGGGTGTGGCTACCCCATTGTAATTATATACTGGGCAACGCCCCTCTATCTCATGTCGGTCTCTGCCATACCGATGCATTTGGTATGGAAATGTTATTAAATTATCTTTACATGTATTTAAATTTATCTTTACTGTTTGCGCTTTTTGTCTCTGATAATAATTTCTATAAGTACCCTGCCTGTCCTCTCTTACCTGCATGCGTGTTCCTTAACACACTATATATATACATAGTAATTTTTTCGTTTTCGGTTTTTTTTTTTTTTTTTTTTTGGTTTTACCTTTATAATGTTTATTTTCGACGTTCCTTATCGGTTGTGTCTCTCGCCAGGTATTGATAAACTCGACTTCAGCCGGCTTGGCTTGCATCCTGACGGGCGAGTGAAACAACAGTTCCCCGATCGACCGAGGAAGTCATACGATACTCTCCCCGCCTTTTCCACTAGAGCCAACAAAAGAAAAAGAACAAGAGTACAAGACATGGCTCCTACTGACCGCGCTACCAGACCTCGCACCCTAGCTGTGAAAAGGGGTGGAGGAAATGCGTCAAAGAGGACATCTGAGTCCTCCGACCGAGAACAACAACAACAACAAAAAAAACAAAAAACATCATGACAATGAGGCGGCATCCTTCGAACAGGATGCACAAGGGATCTGGCCGGAAGGGGTAGTTAACCTGGAGGATGAGACCGAAACCCAACCGCTGAGAAAACTGACAGTCACCTTAAGGGACCCGACTGCTTCCAGTGCCGACATCGATAATCCTCCTCCCAAGGAGACTCCGGCGGTCGTTTCGACGCGCTCTGGCGGTCTCAGCAAGGGCGCTTTCGTCCCTTCCCTTGTCAGCGACTTCATCGAGATTCCACACGTCAGAATCCCGGAAGGAGTTGCTGAGGAATTGGTTGTACCGTTCGGTGCTGCCGGTGACCCATGGCATCCCCGAATCAATGTTAATCGTGGGGAGTCCGTTCTCAGTGACGACCCTAACACTGGCGGGAGCATGGGGTGGAGAATGCTGAAGGATTTGGCAACTCCAGCCGACAGGCCAGCCAATCGCATTGCCGCTCCCTGTGGCCAGCTTATGAACAATATGCTCCGGGTAAGTCATCATTATTACCTTTAGGTGCCTGTCATTTCTACGTTATATCATTATTACTAACGGCTATTTCTGTTACCGTCGATTTAGACCGTCAACTCTGCTGTCGAGGTGGTGCACATGTACCAGCATTATCAGCGCGCCGCCGATAATGCCGAGACCAGGCTGAAGAAGGCTGATGATGCCTGCAAGCTTGTCGTCAAGGAGCGCGACAAGGTTAGATCTGATGTAAAGACCTTGCAAAAGCAAGTGTCTGAGCTGAACAGGAAGCTGAAGGACCAGGAGCTGTTGCAAAAGAAGGTAGCCAGCCTCGAGCAGAGCCTGAAGGACGAGAGGGATGCTAAGGCTAAGCTGGCTAGCCAAGTTAAGGAGATGGAGCGCGACAAGCCGGGAATCAGGCGTCGAGCCGTTAATCGGTTCCTGCAGACCGACCTCTATGCCAACTTGCTGGTTGACTGGTACATTGCCGGCTGGGTCTCTGCGCATCGCTGTGTGTGCAAAGCGGAGGGGTGGGATTCGACGAAATGGCAGGCCGTCGAGAAGGCCTTTAACGAAGAAATGAACCACTCTCCTACCAGCTATGAGAGTGAGTACTTTGACGAGCTCCCCCCGCATGCTGTGATAACCAATTTAGACCCACGCGAGTTGCCGGAAGTGGAGTTTGATGACGCCCTTATCAGTAGCCCTATTGCCACTCATGCTGGCAAAGATGGGTCTGCCGGTCCCTCCAGTAAAGAAGCTGAAAAAGAGCCTGTTAACGCGGGCGAATCAACCAAGGAGGCCGACAAGAATTAATCAGGAGGGCAGTCATCTCTGGGCTGTAATATTCATGCTTGTCTGTATCTGTTTTATGCTTCAAACAATTATATCCGTCTGTATTATGTCACATTTTTTCTTTCAATCGTTTTGAACATTTTATTTGCGTATGTAAGTACTCGTTACAATTTATTTCTTTCAATCCTTACCGTAATCCTTACTGCCGTGATTATTTTGTTTATGCTATGGTCGTTATTTTACCTTTTAACTAACATTTAATGATTGCCCTCCTTGAATCGCGTTTTAGTTACTCCTTGATTTTTAACATGAATTTACGTTTTCGGCTTTCAAAATTACACTTCTTGGTATTTTATTTGCGATTTAAAATTACGTTATCGGCATTTTCAAAATACATCTTACCAATAATACTTTATTATTAGTATTTCTAAGATATACCTACATCTTACCAATAATACTCCCCGAGTTTTTCGGCAGAATTTATTCGTAAACAAATTCTGGGAAAACTTTAGAATGCCTGTGCTGAATATCGGATATAAAACATACCGAGATAAAGTATCCAACCTTTGTCAGGCTGAGCAAAGGCAGTGGATCAGACCGCGCTTTCAACTCCCCTTGAGGTCCATTATTATTATTATTATTATATATTTTTTATATTTCTCACCTGAACGACCGAGTCAGCTAGCTAGGCTGTGATCAGATCATATCGAAAGTAGGTAATACGATTGTATTTCATAAGTGTTGAAATAGATTACAATACTAGCAAATGCCGTTAACATACGTGTGACAACATGGCATCAAATAGATACATAAAATAGAACATATTTACGTTTCACATTAAATGTTTCTTTAACACACTAGCGTTCCAAACATTCTTGAGGGGAACACCTTCAAGGGTCATTAGCGGATAAGACCCTTGCCTAAGGCCCCTCCCAAGTTGCAGTTAATTTACCCTCTGCGTTCCCTTTACCGGTCGCGGCTGTTCTACGCAGAACTAAATCACCATCTTCCATGGGCCGATAATTGACGCGCCGATTATAAGCATGGCTCATTCGGTTTTTGTATGCCGCAGACTTAATGACAGCTGTCAACCTTACTTCCGGTAGGAAATCCAATTGCTGTCGAAGCAGCAAATCATTTTGACTTTCACAGAAGTGTTGTGCCCGAAAAGAAGGTAAGCCCACTTCCGCCAGAACCACAGCCTCGGAGCCGAAACCGAGGTTAAAAGGAGATTCCCCTGTTGTTTCCCTTGTTGTCGTACGATTTGCCCATAAAATTTCAGGTATCAGATCTGCCCACAAGCCTTTAGCGTCTTCTACCTTTTTCTTAACTGCCCCTAGTATCTGCTTGTTAGCGGCCTCAGCTTGGCCGTTTGACTGCGGGTGACATACCGCCGCGTACGCAAACTTGACTTTGTATATGCTTAAAAAGTCTTTTACCGGGCTGCAATCAAATTGTGAACCGTGATCAAACACCATTGCTGTCGGCAATCCGAATTGCGTAAAGATGCTTTTCCAGATAAACTTCTTTACCTCACCCGCTGTAATCTTTGCTACCGGCGCTGCTTCTATCCATTTGGTGAAGTAGTCTATCCCCACAATCAAGAACTTACGGCCACCTGTTGCTGACGTAAACGGCCCAATAATGTCCATCCCCCACTGAGCAAATGGGATTGGGTTAAGAATGGGTGTTAGATCATTTGGAGGTTGGTTAATCACCGGCCTGTACTTCTGGCATTTGTCACATTTTTTCGCATATTCCATGGTATCCGCATTCATTGTTGGCCAATAGTAGCCCCGTTTTATTGCTTCTAAGGACATTGACCGACCCCCCGCATGATTACCGCAATCACCCTCGTGTATTTCTTCTATCAGCCTTGCCGACTCATAAGCCGTTATACATCTTTGTAGCGGTAACGTAAACCCCCGCTTATACAACAAGCCTCGGAACATGATAAACCAGACACTGTCTTTTTGAACCTTTCTTGCCTCCGTCTTGTCGACAGGAAGAACATTATGTACCTTGTAAGCTAAGATATCATCATACCATTCTCGTCCCGTAGTCGTGCAACATACGTCTTTAGGAGGTTGTTCGTCAATACTTCTTTCTTTCAAAACCTCCACCATAACTATCCTTTCTAAGTCATTGAAGCTTGAACTTGCGAGTTTAGCCAAGGCGTCTGCCTGTGTGTTCATTGCCCGAGGAACCAACTTGATTTCGAAGTATTCTAGACCAGAAGTAACACTCTTGAGTTTTGCCAAATATGCCGTCATACTTGGCTCTCGAGTTTCGTAAGTGCCGTTTAACTGATTTGCCACTAATTGAGAGTCAGTTGTCATCTCAATGCGCTTTGCTTCCGCAGATATGCACAGCTGTATCCCTGCTAACGCTGCTTCATATTCTGCCTCATTGTTCGAGGCTTTGAACTTGAACTTAACGGCATACTCGAACACATCTCCCTGGGGAGAGATCATAATTACCCCATCCCCTGAGCCGGTTGAAGCAGATGAACCGTCAACTGATACCTTCCATGTGCCGGCATCATCCTCTTCTTCATAATATGACGTTTTGACAATGAAGTCAGACAAAGCCCGGGCTTTGATTGATACCCTTGGCTTATATGTAATAACATATTCAGATAATTCAATCGCCCATTTAAGCAAGCGGCCAGACGTTTCCATCTTTTGCAAAGATTTCTCTAACGGCTGATTTGTTAAGATATCAATTGCATGCGCATCAAAGTAAGGACGCAATTTTCGTGCAGCCACAACTACTGCACACGCGATCTTCTCTACTACCGGATACCTTCTCTCGGCAGCATTTAAAACGTGGCTCACGAAGTAAATTGGCAGTTGGATCTTTTGCCGCTCTACTAGGAGCACCGCTGCTACCGTCTTTGCTGAGGCCGAGATATAAAGCTGTAACGTTTCTCCTTGTTCCGGCCTTGCGATGGTGGGTAAGGACCTCAAATGATTTTTCACAGCCTGGAACGCCTTAGATTGGTCCTTCTCCCATTCAAATAGCTTGTTTTGTCGCAAAATTACAAGATGGTAGGGCTTTATCAGCTGACTTGCTGATGAATCTTGTTAACGCAGCCATTCGACCGGTGAGCTTTTGTATATCTTTTATACACTTTGGTTCTTGCAAGCTAAGAATCGCCTCAATCTTATCAGGGTTAGCGTCTATACCCCTTTCTCTCACCATGAAACCGAGAAACTTTCCTGATCGGACGCCGAACACACATTTCTCCGGGTTTAACTTCATCCGGTAGCGACGAAGGGTTTCAAAAGTTTCTCTCAAATCAGCGACGTGATCCGTAGCCAAACGGCTTTTCACAATTGAATCGTCCACGTACATTTCTACATTCCTTCCTTTCTGGTTCGCAAATACCTTGTCGACCAGTTTCTGATATGTGGCCCCTACATTTCTCAATCCAAACGGCATAGCCCTGTAACAAAAAACTCCGGAATCGGTAATAAAATGCCGCCTTGGTTCGATCCGGCTCATATAAGCTGACCTGGTGATACCCAGAGAAAGCGTCCATGAAGCTCAGTAGCGCGTGACCGGAAGTTGAATCTACCAATCTATCTATCCTCGGTAAAGGATAGCAATCTTTCGGACAGGCTCTGTTCAAGTCCGTAAAGTCCACGCACATTCTCCACTTCCCTGACGGCTTCTTTACCATGACCACATTCGCTAACCATTCGGGATATGTGCAGGGTTCGATAAAACCGGCCGCTAGCAATTTGTTCACCTCTGATTGAATAACCTCCATTTTCTCTGTTGAAAAGTTCCTTTTTTTCTGTCGAACAGGTCTTGCTCTCCTGTCGACATTGAGCTTGTGCACTATGACGTCGGGATGTATCCCGGGCATCTCGTCCGCCGAGAAAGCAAATACGTCAGCACTTTCTCGCAACAATTCCACCAAATGGCAGCGCGTGTCGACATCCATATCGGATCCCACACGCACTACCCTACTGGGCACTCCGGGCTGCAACTCGATCTCGACAGTCTCGCCTCCCGGGGAAGGACGTGGAGCAGTTACCGGCCTAGTATCAAAATTTTCCATAGCCAAGTCATGCGTGGAAGGAATTCGTTGTCGCTTGGCTGGTGTCCGTTCACCAGCTGGATGTCGGCCTGGTTGCTTCAGTGCCGATACATAACACTCCCTTGCCATATTCTGACTACCCCGTACGCGCTCTGTTGTTCCCGCGTTGGATACATATACCATGGTTAAGTGGTACGTTGACACCACAGCTTGCATATCATGAATTAAAGGCCTACCGACAATGGCGTTGTAAGCGGATGGCACATCAATCACCAAAAACTCTGCCATGACATCTCTTACTGCCGGACCCTTTCCCATTCGAACCTGAAGAACAATGCTACCTTCAGGTCGTACCGTCGATCCGTTGAAGCCTATCACGGGATAGGACACTGGCGTCAAGTATTTTCGGCCAATCCTCATGGCATCAAAAGCCCTAGCAAACAGAATATTTGCGGAACTTTCGCCGTCAACGAGTGCCCGTTTGATATCTGCTCCATTTACCGTCAGTATTAGCACCAACGGATCATCATGAGGGTAAACTATTCCCTTAGCATCCTCCTCCGTGAAAGATATCGAAAGCATGGAAGAAGGCCGAGGTCGTTCCTCTACGCTCAAAGCTTCACTAGGTGCCGGTATTCCGACAAACTCTTCTTGGCCCCGCTTACGGAACCTCCGTATACCGGCCCTCCCCTGATAACGTCGATTGTTATTTTACGTCCTGTCGGATTACCTCCCTGTCTGGACGTTTTCGCATGATTCTGCCTGTAAGTATCATCTTGCATTGACTGTTCCCCCTGCTTTCGGTACTCCGTTTGCCTAGGTTGTGAATTTTGCTGTCGGCTGGGACCTGCCTGAGTACGATACTGGGATAATCGTCCCTTCCTTATAAGATCCTCAATGTTCTCTTTTAGCTGAACACATTCTTCGGTGTAATGACCAACATCTCTGTGAAATATGCAATACTTCTTCACGTCCCGACCCTTCGTTATCATCGGTGCCGGTCGACTCCAATCTTCTCTATTCTGGTTTATTGAATATATTGCCGCTCTCGAGGTGTTTAACTGCGTATAACTACTGTAACGACCCAATCCCCTTGTCGGCCTTCCGGATCGCTGCTTGCCTTGCGGCAGCGCCCTGCTTACCCCACCCATCTGGGAATTCGAGCTATTATCACCTTGCCTTCTGGAGGGCTCTACCGACGATATCTGACGGCTCGTTTTTAGCAGCTCCTCACTTTTTATGTATTCGTGAGCTTTGGCAAATGCTACCCCTAAGTTTGGGAAACACTTCCGCGACATATATTTTTTGAAGTCGTTGTCACCTAGCCCATTCATCAATGCCATCACGACAATCTCTTGCTGCAATTTCGGTATAGTGTTAGCTTCATTATTGAAGCGTCTAATGAAATCTCTGAGCGACTCATCCTTTCGTTGTTGAATAGCCATGAGCTCGCCAGATGTCCTTTGTCTCGTACTATCACTTATGTACTGACCTTTGAACAACTCCACCAGGGTCTCAAAGCAGTCAATTGATCCCGGCTCTAAGTTGGAGAACCAATCCAAGGCTGCGCCGGTAAGAGTCGTAGGGAAAACTTTACACCACACAGCATCGGTGTCTGTATACAGCAAGATATGACTCTCAAACGCGGCCACATACCGCTTTGGATCCCCCTTACCGTCATACGTACAGGACGACATCTTTATTTTCTCCATTTGCTGGTCGAGTACCTCTTGTGTGAACGGAGATATTCTGGGCCTGATGATTGCCCTGACTGCCCGCCTTTCCGGGCCACTAGAGATCTCATGCCGATAAGAACCTGAATCTCCCACCTGGGCGCCTTGTGTGAGTTGGCGCTCGGTTGGTGTGGTCTCTTGGCCACGGCTTCTTGACGGTTGTTGCTGTCCCGCCTGGTTGAACTGACTCTCCAAATTGACTATCAGCGGCTTTGTCGGTACCTTATCCCGTATTCCCCCTGCCGTTAACTCGGCTTCCTTTCTTTTCTTAGACATAGCCCGCATGACCTTGGCCGTTATCTCCAGCTCCTCCGGGGTAAACCCCTCCAAGGGATCTGGGGTCACTGCTCTGCTACGGTCAGGTGTTATGGGCCTATTCATTGTGTTACCGTGAAGGAGATGAGTTTCATCTTCGACCATGATTTCTGGTACTATGGTTTTATTCGTGTTAGCATTAAGGACATTGTTATCGTATTTCCGGTTATCAACTTCTGGTACCGGTACTGAAGTTCCCTTACTTCCTTCCATGACTGTGAGAGGTGCTGTTGGACGATAGAAGTTATTACTATCCCCTCCTTCTAGCGCCAATTGTTCCTGCTGGATTCTGCTTCCGTCAGTGTCTGAGGGCTGGTAATGGTTTACCGTCCAATTGCTCACCTACACAGCCAATACAGATTAGCTAGCCCGGGGGTTATCCGGGAATAACCACTCCGATGCTAAAGTTAGTACCTTTGTGAGAAGAAAGTGAAAGAAGAGAGAGAAAATGTTTTAGAGAGAGAGAGATTCTACCTCTGAAATGAGAATTTGTTTGGGTATTTATAGGAACGCAACCAAGCAGGTGCCACCTATACAGATAGGTGGCACACCGACCTTGGTACTAGCAGGTGCTTACGCGGCACTAAGCAGCCCTCCACGTGTCAGTGGGACATGCCACGTTCCGAGAAGCAGCTCTCCACGTGGTAGAGACTAATGCCGGTAAGGACATGAATTATTCAATAATTAACCATTTCTTTAAACTGCAAGACACTCTTTTACCGGCATGTTATGATACTACCGGTATATCCCGTACAGTACTTAATTCTATTTTGTTACAAAATAATAAAACCTATGTCGAATACTTATACATCATGCGTGGTCGAAACTACACCACGACACCACGCACCCGAAGATTCAATAAAAATTACATTAATTGTCTCTCTCCTAGGAAGATAGATAGGTATGTGATTATTTGACGTTAGATGCAAATGAAATTGTTAAACACTTGATATTACATCTTTTTAACTCTCCTTTTCTACAATAAAAAAAAATCCCAATAAATATTTTCTTACTTGATGAAGCCCGTGTGATGCACCGTTTGTTTGATTTTTTTTTTATAATGTTTTTGGTATTAATGTGTTAAAATTTGTTATATATTTAGATAAAATTCCTAATATTAAAAGATAATACATGATATTTATATAATTCGTGCGATGCACGGTTTGTTTAAAAATATTTTTTATATTTATGAGATTAAAATTGTTATATATTAGTTTTTAAATCTTAGATAAATTTTCTAATCTCAAAAGATAATATTTTGCATTTGATTAATTTAAACTTTAAAATCTCATTCGTCAATTTTGCTTACGTGGCATTTGAATTATTTAATGGTAAAGAAATTATTAATCTCTTATTTAATTGGCTACAACTAAAATTTATAATCCTACATGGCGATAAGAAAATTAAATCTTATGTGGCTCTCTAAAAACTCCCCTTTATATATATACTAGATGAAAGCCCATGCGATGCCCGATTTTTTCATACATTTTTTTAGGTTGTTTTTTCATACATAAATCTAAAAAAAAGTTATCTTTATTAGTTAAACCATATAATAATTTAATTGAATTACTATTATCTATCAAAAAAGATAATTTTTTATTATATTTTTGTAAAAATGTGGCTTTATCAGTTGAGGTTATTTCAAGAAAAGATAATTTTCTTACTTTAAACCATATAATATTTTAACGAAAGTAATTTATAATGTGACCTTATCGGTTGATGTTAGTTAAGTGGCAATTGACGTTATTGGTTATTATAATACTAAAATAAAATATAATGAATCGCTGTTTGTGTCCATCGTTGAGTCTAAACCAAGAATTTTATGATGTTCAACTTCTGAAATATGCTTCTTTGCCTGTAAGTATTGTTGGCACTTGAGATTCTCATAAAATTGTATGTAAATTTGTGCGGGCCTATGAGATTAACAATAGATTGGTTATATAGGATTAAAAAGCAATGCTAAATTTAAAGTGGTGATAAATTTTTATCATTGAATATGATAAATTTTGTTAATATAATATTTAATTTTTTAATAGAATAAATTATTAGCGGATGTTTTTTTATTTGCAAGATAAAAAAAAGGATTTTTTTATTTTAATAATTTATGATTTTTTAATCTAATCCAAAATTGAATTTTTTTTTTATTGAACATAGTTTATATTTTTAATTAGTTTATTTTTAATGTAAATTTTTTATATCAATTTTCTTTTTTTGAAAGAATATCACTTTTCTTATTACATTATTATTAAATCTAATCCAAAATTGAATATTTTTTATAATAATTAAAAGTGATTTTATTTCAATTTTACTTTTTAAGGTGAAATTATCTTTCTTATATAAATTTAATTTTATTACAATCATATAATGTATTTTTATCACTTTTCAAATACATTAGTTGAACGTTTTTTTTTTCACAATTTTTTAACTTGAATGTATGTAGTTTATGTTTATTGTTTTTCAATATATCTTAATTTTTTTTGTTATTAGTATAATCTTTTAATTACTAATTTAATTTGTAATATCAAAACATAATTTATTCATTAGTTTTTTTTTTAAAATTATTTGAATCCTAATATCTAAAGATGATTTTATAGTTTTTAAAAGATAATTTTACTTTTTTAAATAATTTTAATCTAATAAATCACTATTTTTTTTATCAACGTGGCCAAATTCTTATATCTCATCCGTCGGCTTTACTTAAATTGTCAATTAAGGTTTTGGGAGTCATTTTGGTTTTTAAGGGTCAATTTGAGGTTGAAATTGACAAAAAACGACTAGAAATAATGTCTCGTTTTTGCAAGCAAGGAAATTCCTCAAATTATGTTTTTCACTTACGAGCCGTGAAAATTGGTTAAGGCTATGGAGGTCATTTTAGTTTTTAAGAGACAAATTTGAGTCAAAATTGAAAAAAAAGACCGAAATTGCCTCTATTTACATGCATTATTTGTCTTAATTTGCGTGCTTTATTTTCTAAAATATAAGTTAAGGTTTTGAGGGAAATTTTGGCTCTAAAAGGTCAATTTTAAGTTCAAAATTAACCAAAAAAAAGACCAAAACGTCTTTAAATAAATATCTTGGTTTGCATACTTTATTTGAGCCGTGAAAATTGCTCGGTTAAGATTTTGGAGGTCATTTTGGTCCTTAAAAGTCAAATTTGAGGTCAAATTGAAAAAAAAGACAAACTAGAAATAGCTTGATTGGCGTGATCCCCAATACCTTCACTGAATAATTTTCCTGACTGGCAAATTAAGGCATTTTTTATCGTTTTTATTTAATATCATATTTATTTTTTTGAAATACAAATTATTTTTTTAAATATAAAATATTAATTTAAACGGAATATTCCCTAATATTCTCATTCCAATAATTGACGTACTATTTTGCATAAATATTTGAATACCTGGTGATCGAGAGCAAGTACCTTAGGTCGTATTATTTTGCGCACTTGGGCAATAGTTAAGGTTATTGAGAGCCAATTTTCCAAAGATATACTTACTAACAAGGAGTATGACAAATCAATAACTAATACCCACT